TAATATTAAGTTCTTTTTTCTACTGAAGTAATTAAAAAAAGGAATTAGTAGTTTGGGAACTTATCATGGACCGATTTGATTTTAAATGTAAGTTTTGCAACTTAGCTGATGAAACTTAGATTATCGATGTTTTTAGTTTCTTTATGTGTGACGTTTTGAATTGTGAAGTTATTTTTCCAGTGAAACGACGTGTGAAAATACAGTATGTCCCAAAGCATTTTAAGTCTGATAGCTTGCTAACAGTAGTTAGCCTGGATGATGAGCAAAACTAGTGGTAAATTCTACTGATTTTCACACTGCAACTGGAAGACTGTACAGTCACGTGTAACGTAGTGAACGCACAAGAGTATAAACAGCTGCAGACAGGACATGGATTCATTCAAATAGAGCAACTATACTCGACAAAAAAAGGACATTTTAGTTTGGTAAATTATTTTTTTGCACCCATGATTTTCCGCAATAAAGCTTATCTGACTGGCAGCACCTGGGGGCAGCAGAAACTCAAAACAAGCGTCAACAGCAAAATAAGCTGTTTGACAGAGAAGATTTGACAAACTTTTCATGTGTACAGCCCACAAATGCAGCTCTACTGCTTATCCCACAAATGCATGTTCCTTACAAATGTGGCTCCTTTTAAAAAGGAACAGACTTCCCAACGGTATAAGATTTATTGCCAAGAAGTATTGTTACAACAAAAAAAAATAACCTACCAAACACCAATATCCTTACTTTTTGTGCCAAGTTTGCAGTCTCTCAGCAATAGCTGAATAATAAAAGTGGCTGCATTAAGAGACAGTTTTCCATCTCTAATTAAATGAAGATACAGATTGCTTGCTGCCACGATAGTGAAATCGCTCTGTGACAAAAAGTTCATGACCACCAAAGCTAGTTTCCACTGGTAGAACAAGAAAAAAAAAGTCAACAATTTTACTGAACAATCAGACTGAAGATGTGAGTAGAACTCTGTCAGACAATTAGCCTCACATTGTTTAAAAATAAAAATAAAAATCGGGTTTTCAGGGACAGCGTGACACCTGACATCAGTTATGTACGCTCACCCAATCTATTGCTTCTGCAGCGGTGAAATCAATGTTTCATGCTGCCAGCCTCCATGAATCACTCAACTCACTGGAGACTAATTTAAATGTCTGGACTCGGGCAAAAAAAAAATCGTGTTTGAAACAAAAATATTATTATTATAGACAGCTGTGATGTTCCTGCTGTGGAAACAGATCATTACAGGATTCATTTCAGTAGATGGTCATCTGGTCAGCAGCGTGATAAGTCACCTTCTCCTGCAGGTTTTCTGTCTCCTCTTTGTGAGTGGCCTCACTCGCTTCTTGTTCACGACGCTGATCCGTCTCTTTCTTCAGGTGTTCGATTTCCCTACGAATTACACACAWGGATGGTAACGTTTTTTTACGATAACAATATCATTATTGTAGAACAGCAACAAACTATAATCAAGACTTTTAGTTTGTCTACATTTGCTTACTTTTGCTGGTATTCTTTAATCATTCTCTTGGCTTTGTTGTATTTCCTCTCTAGGGTTTGATACTGAGCCTGGGTTTCCTTCAGGTGTTCATCCACAGCCTAAACACACACACACACACACACACACACACACACACACACAC